TTCTTCCCCTAGGCAGGGCATTCCTCTGAACCATCGACCGCATTGCCTAACCTTTGTTTTCTCGGCTGATTATTGAACAATATGGTATAACGAATTATTTAAGCCCTTACAACATTTTAAAAAATTCATCAAAGTCACGTTACCGATGACGTCAAAAAGTGTATGTTTCCTAGACTCAAAACCATTGTAACTTCTTAAGTATACGTCTGACTTCAATATCAATGCTAGATTCGAGCTCGCCTGAAGGAAAGCTTTTCAATGATATATACACATCAGTAATTTGACGATGTCAGCAATTTTGAATGATGACGTCATCACTTTCAAAATGGCCGTCGAGCAGTAAATTTTAAGACAAAAGCTCTGATCTAATCAACTGCATTTCTGGATCGTTTTGTGGCAATGTTTTGTCAGATAATCATTCTGCATCACTCAAATTAACGTTTAAATTCTTGAATTGCCCCCCTCCCCCTCGAAAAAGCCCTCACCCTAGAACTACAAATTGTCAATAAGCCCCCCTCGAAAAAGCCCCCACTGCTACCATAAATTCTCAAATGGGACCCCTCAATTTGATGATTTTTGCCATCGGAGGTTGCCTACAGAATTTTATTGAATTATCACAACAATTCATACGTTTGGTAGTAATTAATTAAATGCTCATAAAGAAATTCCTATTGAAATAAATGACGTCTTTTACTAATGTCTTCTTAATGTCTGCAATAATTTTATAACCCCCTCGTATTAGCCCCCCTCCCTTTGCATAAGCCCCCATCCAAAAATTTAAGAAATGAATAAGCCCCCAGGGGGCTAATTCGAGGATTTACGGTATATATTTGTCTCAAATCCATTTACCGCCAAAATCCTCCGACGAACTGAAGTCATAAACTTCCCGTTCACTCTCTAGTTCATCAGAAAGTTCAGTGCTACTTAGATCAGAGTCTACCTGGTCTGTTGTTTCCTTGTATTCGTTACTAGCACTGAATTCGTCGACACTACGGGCCTATTTCGGTACCTCTGTTCATCTCTTGCATTTCTTTGTGCAGGGAGATTTTCACTGCCACTTTCGACATCTGCCCCAACGCTTTCTGAAAGTCGGCTCTTGTTTTTCCGTCTTGACTTCAAAGAAGGGGGCACGTGAAGCAAAAAGATTTCAAGGAAGACTCTTCAGAAGACCTTTCCAGCCACAACTTTCTAAAGAAAGTCTTGTCGGATGGTTCTACGCAACGCAACCAGCAGTAGGCTATCTTCTAGGAATGTGAATCAGAAGGGAGTTAAATGTTACTTTCATTTTGGTATAAATTTTTAGTCTTGTTTCCACATAGCTTCTCTTGACCTTGCCAGAATACATTACCATTTGAACAAACTTCTGAAAATCTTCTATATCGCTATCACTAACCACTTTTTCTTCTCCAAGGCTGTCAAGCAGTTCAAGGTATCGCGGGCTCTTGATGACTGTCTTCAGCAACCTTACCTTTCCTATGTTGCGGAAATAGGATTTAGAATTACACCCAGATAAAGCATGTAAAGCCTGTAGATTAAGGCAAACATCTCTTCCGAAATGGGAACCATTTGCGTTTTACATGGAGAAAAGCAAAAGCCCAATGTGTCTTCCAAAATCAGTCTTATAAAATCAATTTGCTTCTAATTTCGATACAGGAGCTCGTGGCATTTATATCCTTGCAACATGCTTTGGTAGTACACTTGTAAATGACCTCTTGGCCCTGGTTCACCAACTTATACCCAGCTTGAGGAGCAACAAATTTGATGAGGCTGTGCATCCGCGCTCGGTACGTTGGCATCGGCTTGATGGAGCGAACTGCTGCCACTCCGTCTACTATCCAAACGGCAGACTTCGGAGGCATGTCTTTGATCCATTGCCACTCTTCGAGCAAGGGTCGTTGCAAAGTTACTTTGTCTGACTGACACAAAGTTAAACCAGCTTTAGCGATAGCAATTGAAAGAGGAACGGTTGTCATTCATGGGATGAGTGAATGCCTCTTGCAGACTTCCTGCCTTCAAAATGAGTAGTTAAAGGCCTGTTTTTGTGTTCCTTGGCCACGGTAGGTGTCCTCTTGACCTTTTCCAGATCTGTCTTCAGCTTTGTTTTTTTGATCGGCGTGAAGAATTAAACGCTACAATTAATCAGGCGATCATTTGTGAAGCGATGCATATTCTCTTCTCCTATGATCGACGCTGCAAGGAGGTCAGTAGAACTTTATTGATCAAATTCTTCACCAGTTAAAGTCGATTTCGCAGGTGTAACAGAAAACCGATTGGTGCCATAGCTTTGAAGAGTTCTCTAAGGCTATCATTATGCTTCTGAAGGAGCTTTGTCCCACCTGGAATGCTGTACTTGTGAATTGATGATGACTTTACAAAAAAGTATTGCTTCAGAGCCTCTCTAAACTTGCTATGAATGTGGGACGTAGCAATCCAAGTGTTAACCGCATTAACGTTTGCTGAAGCCAGACCTGTATGGACCTGCAGTCACTTAAACTTCTTGATTAAATAGCTCTGTATGTAAATCGCAATGAATTGCAGATAATTTGTTTTGAAATTTCTGCCAAATTCTTATTTGTTCCAATCTTGGAATGCTGTAGTTTGTTCACCGTCACCCTGTAATGATTGAAGTGCAATGGAGAAGCAGATGTTGGTATGTCCAGTAGCGGGCATAGTTGATGTGATTCAATGCAAATGTAAGCAGAATCATATTTCGCACTGCTTGCAAAAGTAGCTTAGTGTTGCTTCTCTGCACAGCTGCTACCATGCTCAACAAAGCAGACAAATCCTCCAGCTTGGCGATTTCAAGACACTTTTCAGTTTTTTGACGATTTTCAAGAATCAACAGTTTTTGCATCAATCTGTCAATGCTTATGGGCATTGACTGTGTGTGTTTTTTTGGAAAAGACGTTGGCGAACCCATGAGTTGATGAAAGCAACCCATCAGCACCTTGATCCAACTATACAAGTCAGCATTCGTTCACATAATTTGGTTCATCTTTGCCTTCCCCATTTCATCCGCATGAACAAAAACATGAAATATATTAAGATCATATCTAAGAAAAAATCAAGGTATATTCCTTGCATACTGGATAGACAGGCACCTTATAAGTGATTGGCAAGCAAAAGAAAGGCTTTAAAGTATAAAAACCATATAATAACTGTTTCCTCCTGTCTCCTGGCAATGCCAATAATATAAGCCCTTGGCCTTTGTGCAAAGCTCGGTTTCGTACCGACGGCTTCAGGTCCGGTCTTCGGGAACAATTATTTTAGGTTTAATTAATAAATTAAAAGAATAATAATGAAAAACTGTGGATGGCGAAGGAGCAGCTTTTTCTCCGTTATAAGAAAGTATCAAGCAAAATCATGCATGATGTCAAATTGCGATAATGCCAAATTGTGCCTAGCAAATTCAGAGTCAGCTCACTTATCGACGGCCATTTTGAAAGTGATGACGTCATCATTCAAAATTGCTGACATCGTTAAATTACTGATGTGTGTATATCATTGAAAAGCTTTCCTTCAGGCAAGCTCGAATCTAGCATTGATATTGAAGTCAGACGTATACTTAAGAAGTTACAATGGTTTTGAGTCTAGGAAACATACACTTTTTGACGTCATCGGTAACGTGACTTTGATGAATTTTTTAAAATGTTGTAAGGGCTTAAATAATTCGTTATACCATATTGTTCCATAATCAGCCGAGAAAACAAAGGTTAGGCAATGCGGTCGATGGTTCAGAGGAATGCCCTGCCTACCCTCTTCTATCCTTCTCACTTACCAAACCTTCCTCGCCATCTTATTACCTTGAAAAGTTGGCTGCGTTGTGAGGTTTCTTGTGGCATACAAGAAGCAACGCTTTGAAGCCTGTTTCTGAATGCTAAATGAGATTCCACCCAACAGTTTCCACCCATTTCCAGGGTTGATCGATCGTGGACCGTGTTTGTTACTCAGTATGGAGCGGGCTGTCACTCCATGTCGTTGACATTTTTAATCGCTGTAGTATTTACTTTAGGAAACGAGTCGAAGCAGAGTAGCCTCGAATCACGTGACGAGGACACCACTCCTATTGCCGATGAAATGAAAAATCGCAGCAAAGGTACGGAGCCTGGAGAATCAATAGCACGAAGCAACAGCAACAACTCTATCAGTCCCACTAGCAGCAGTTTAGACTCTAGCCAAACACCGGACGTAATGATGCTCGACAACGAAGTAAAGAAACCCAAAAAGAAGAAAGGCTCGAAAAGGAAGAAAAAACCAGACGAAATGCTGCAATGTATAATTTGCGGTCGAACAGGGTTAAGTTCGGAGTTTTGCGCGTCGGGCCGATTTTGCAGTCAGAGGTGCGTAGGAGCATACGCAAGCAAATGCAGAGCTGATACACTGGCCGCAGCGGCTGCCGGAGGAGAGGTTTTGGAGCAAAAGAAACGGAGACGTCATAAGAAAGATGGCGGCAAGAAGGGAGGGAAAGGAATGAAGCGTAAAAACTATTTGTTTGAAAAGGTTTGTATTGTACTTTATGTGAATTCAATCGAAGGCTGTAACAATACTTCATAATTAATTTTTCAAACTTAAAATGAAGGTCTTTACTTGCCCTTTCTTTCGCCAAGTTTAAAAAATTCTGGCCTTGGTTTACAATCCAAGATGACAATAATTCTTACAATATAAGATTTAGACAGCCAAGACAAAATGAAAGCTATTCAAAATGATTGCAATTCTCTCTTGTTTTCATAACATGTGCCGAGCATTCATAGCACAGTATTTTGTATCATCGTTGTTCGTATTTGTATTATTTGGCTTTTGTTATCATTATAATTGCAAATTCTAGTATTTTTTCTATCCTACCCTCACTCTACAATTTTATGATCGACAACGATCCTCCAGATAACTTTACTAATTACATATCGCAATTTCTCTGTTAGGAATTTCATGGCATATCATCTCCAATGCTGCCTTTGATAGGCCCTGAAGATGTCAAAAACAAAAAGGCCAAGCTTTCTCTTACGGATGATGCACATTTCTTTTACAGTGCAGGTAAGATAATTACTAACAATACAATCTCTCGGTGTTGTTCAATCTCTCTCT